ATCCTACTAAAAATCCAAAATTTCCCTACGCGTTTTTCACTTATGTGTAGTGAGCGAGACATGCGTGTCGTCCACACGTTTAGCAGATAGCAGCCGGCGTATGATGTCAAAATGATGACATATCCGTCACACTAACCGTAAGCGTTGGAGTGTGACACCACCCTATTAACACAAGTTTATTGCTAAGTCATTTCGCCCTCTGTATAGCATTAAAATATATTTTATGTAATATAAAAAAATAATATACTGTATTGTGTATGTTTTCATTTCTCTTTTCAATAAACTTAATTTATGCAAAAGCAATTTACATCAACATATATTAATTTTAATAGGACCATGCATCTTTGGGGTTCCTCGAACATACACAGCCTGGACAGCATCAACCTTTAAGGTGTAATACTGTACCAGGATACACATGACACCTTCTGCATCTTTGAGATGCTCTAGTTGTCTCCAAATTTTGGAGCATTTTATTAATAGGACCCCCAGAAACTATATACTGTAGTAGACTGGTCTAGGATGGCCTGTTGTCAAGTGATTATAGCCCTGAGTTGTTTTGGCACTCAGTCGTTTCAGCCTGGGTCATTCCTGCCTGAGTTGTTTTTGGTTTTTTTTTTGAAAAAATTTACCACATTTTTCTAGGCCATTCACATTTCTCCGTATTATAATTGCTTCTGAACAATCGTGACTGCTTTCGGGTTCTAATTTTACCTTGTTTTACAAATGTCATGTTTTCAATTAGACCCATTTTTATAGTGACAGGTTTTTGCTGCCGTGCTTCAGAAGGTAATGTGTTGACATTGAGTATCTCTAACGCATTGACGTCTGCAGGAACGCATTCAACCATAACCTTTTAAATAGGCTTACCGTACTACACTCACTACGTATGTTACATTTCATCGAGAAACTATTATTTTAACAATTCAAGGCACACCACATAACATCTAATGAACTTTAAAATTGTAAATAAGAAAAATGGAAAAATAGTATTGTTTTAAAAATTATTAACTTTATTATGTATAAATAGGCCTAATATACAAACTTGTACAATTTATTATTATCATCAAATAATTATTATATTGGAATGTATTGGCCTTATCTATTTAAATTATGTAGGCTAAATTAAAAAATTGGAAAATTTTAAAAATATATACAGTTCTTACAAAATAGCATTGAAATAAAGGTGGGCGTGACTCGCACGGAAGAGAAAATTGTCAGTTCAGAATTCATTCTGTTAGTTATTAGGGGTTTTGTTTGTCAAGGTTTTTTTTTATAATAGTGTATGCATTTCAGTGTACAACAATTGAGTAAAGGAGATTGCATTAATGTAAAGTATATTATAGACAAATAGATTCAGGATGACCAATTTACCGAAGTCAAGAATTAGATTCCATTGGGATACGAGTAAAACATAAACAGATTCAAGATTCAAAAATATTTATTTATAATACATTTTTAATTATAAAACATTTCATCAAATATCTACTCACTTCGGGACCGCTCAGTTTATTAACATTGTATGTAGATAAATTTGTCGACTGCTTCCTGAACCACTGTAGGGCTCACGGTACAGTACCGTATTTATAGTTTGTCATCATCAGCCCTGTACTATCCATAAACCATTACTGTTATTTTATCAAGATACGCCCTTTGTGTTTATGCTAATTAATATGTCAAACTATGCAAGATATCACAATAAAGAAGGTGGCAGGGACGATTAAAATTTTTGGAGAAGAAATAAATATATTTTTCATTTCCCGAAAACTCTTGTTTTCTGTCACTTGTGATTAGTCTCACTAAAAATCAGCAACAGCAACACCGTGAAGCAATGATGATTTTTAAAAATTAACCTTCTATAAACTGATCTTTTGCATAGTTGACACATTAATTAGCATAAAAAGTAAGGGCATATTTTTTATGAAATAACAAATGGTTTATATAGCTCTACAGAGCTGATGCATGCTAATTAGCAGAGGTTACTTATAAATTATACTGTACATGGTAAAATTTAGGCCAACATATTAGCTCAGGACATAGTAACCTAATAATAATAAAAAATAATGAAGTGAGTATATATTTGATGAAAAATGAAAATGTATTTTTTTTTGTTTTTTTTTGTTTTTTTTTAGTTTTATAATTTTAACCCAATAGAAACTTATTCTTTACTTCGACAATTCTGTATTTATCACTTCTAATCATATATTTTATATTAATCTTCTTTATTCCATTGATGTACACTGAAATAAAAAAAAATGTATGAGCATTGAAAGAAATAGAAAAATAGAATAACGCCCATATTCTTAAAACAAACTTTAGTCGAACTTCGATCTAGAACTTCATTTAGTGCTAGTTGCATCTTTAACTTCAATTTGTATTCACAAACAATGTAGTCGAAGTTTTAACTACGACTAAATCAAGTCCTAGGTTTAGTTCAACTGAAGATGACTGGCAAGCCACGACTATCAGAACTAACCAATGAAAAGGGCAAACTTTAATAGCAGACGAAATTTTAGAGATCCGGTAACGCGAATGAATATTAAGCTGCCGTCTGTGGTTCAAAAACGTATTTCCTCATAATTCATAATAGACCATCATTCCCTTAATTAATTTTCTATAATAATAACTATATTAGTTGTTAACATATTACAATAGAGAATTTGAACAGACACTGAAAAAATTTGCTTTCTTTGGAGAACTATTATAGTCTTTGTTGTTGTTATTGTGAAGCTACGTGATCGCAACACGAGAGGATTTCGTGCAAATCAGGAACTATCGCATGTGGCTAGCAAAACATGTTAATTTCTCCTCCTGGAAGCTAAACTTGATGTCTCTTTTGTTTAACACACCGAAGATATATAAAACCTGCGTATACAATCGTTTTTATTCGTTTCACTTTATCGTGAGTTACAAAAAACAGTTTTTAGTGGGGTAAATATTTCAAGTCTGCGATTTAGCCTGACCCTAGGCTGACTAAAAAAATCGGCCTGCGGAGGTATCATTTTAGTTGAGGTTCACGTCATTTAGTTGTAGTGCTAGTCGAAGTTCGTTTTAAGAATACGAAATGACGTAATTTTAAAGTTTTAGCTCGAACTATGACTAAAGTTTGTTTTAAGAATACCGGGGTAAATGTATCCAACAATACATTAATACAAATATACTATTTAAATACTCATTTTGTTTTAATGTAGAATAAGTTTATCACTGTTCATGTGGTACTGTAGTACATATACTGATGCTATGAAACAAAGACATGAAGGTCATGGTTGAAAACGTTTCTGCTGACACGTCAATGCGTTATACAGTAGATCCAAAATGTCAACGCATCACTTACCGATACACGATGGGCAAAACCAACCAAACAAAAAACAACATACATCGATTTTTAACAGAATCAATTTGGACAATTATCATTATAAAAGTTGGTTTCTATTGATTATTAAGCAGTTTTCTACACTACTGTGGTAATATTCTTATCATTTTTGCATCCGTGTGGTTATGCGTGGTGGCGTGTGGTCCTGTGTAGTATTTAGTAGGACCCCACCAATCAACATGATGTGGGTTAGGCAAATATTGATATCACGATTGAATTAATATTACGCCGTGGCTAGAGATATGGTACCGTATTTCTACTTCAATTTGCTAAAGGTACGGTAAATGGCATTACGTCACCATCACCCAATGAAGTGCCAGAATGTGCGTCATTATTCAAGACTGGCATTGCAAATCACCCGCGATGAGCGGTGAAACGAGAATGATGTACAGTACTGGGAAATTAGAACATCAAGTACAATATTGTTTGACTTTAGTACTGTCATCTATAAATAGGCGTATGGTTCCACTTAGTAAAGAGTTTCATTTAGCTAGGCCTATGTATAACTCTTGGCATGCCTCTGGCCTTGCTTAAATTCTTCGGTTGGCGAAAAATCTAAGCAAGCAAGGCCTGCTCGGCCTTGCTTGGATTCTGCTCTGGTGACATTGATCTGGGTGGCATATATCAGTCATAAACTTTAGCCTAGTTCCTCCGTGATCATACCGTCTGAACTTCATAATCCCTACATCCCAAGTTTTAGTCCAAGAAGCTTAATATACTTGAAATAATACCACGCTTTACAATGCGACCAAAATATTCATACAATTTAAATGCACAAAACTTGCTTAGATTCTTCACCAGCGAAGAATTTAAAAGCAAGGCCTAGAGGCGGATTCCCTAGAGGCATATGCCAAGAGTTTGGTACAGAAATCAGTCCTTGTTTGATAATATTTATATATAGGCCTAGCTAATTGAAACTCTTTACTATAAAGTGGAACCATACGCCTATTTAACGAAGACAGTAGGCCTAAAGTCAAACAATATTGTACTTTTGATGTTCTAATTTCCCAGTACATCGTCCTCCTTCCACCGCTCATTGCGGGTGATATGCAATGCCATGCCAGTCTTCAAAAAATGACGTCACGCACATTCTGGCAACTTCATTGGGTGATGGTGACATAATTCCATTTACCGTACCTTTAGAAAAACGAAGTAGAAATACGGTACCGTATCTCTAGCCACGGCGTTAATATTATTAGGTCTGTGAACCCCATAGCAGCAAACAGTAAGTTTACACAGGTTCAACTCTCTGTGGTTAATTATAACTTATCAACTATTGAGTAAGGGCCTAGCTAGCCTAGGCCCTACTCAGTACTGATTCTATATTCATATTGAAATGAGGATAAACAATACTACTTACTACTAGGCCTAGCTAGGCCCTAGGCCTACTACTACTATTAGTATTCGTATAATTATTGTTGGGCATAATTTAGTTAGATAGTAGGGCCTAGGCCTAGTCTAAGCCTATTTCACGTATCAAACATTATGCCTATTAAGCCTAGCTATGGCCTAGACTAGGCTAGTTCATCTAAAGTAGGCCCTAGGCCCTAGGTACCTAGCTAGCTAGCTAGCTAGCAAGCCAGGGCCCTACTGTTGTTGTACAAAAAAGTACACCGGAAAATTTACCTACCTGGATACCACGACCCCCTTGTTTCTTGTAATAAAGAACTCCCTCCTTAATCAATGAATCGGTCATTGTTCGTCAGCAATATATGCTACATTTGATTATTGTCAATGAAGAAAATACATCACATTTTGTTCATTTGCTATGTTTTCAAAGGAGTTGTTGAGACGACAAACTTCCTCACAATATTCACAGGACGTGCGTATCTTCATTACTTCCGTGTTTGATCTGTTGAATGTGAGCCCTCTCGCGGTCACATTATGGCTACATTTTCGAAATTGAATTTGTGTTTTTGTTGTTTGGCCAAAAATAGATGGCTTGGTGTTGGTGCTGCTGATTGTGAACAATTTGACAAGCAAATATTTTGTTTAGCAGCATCAAATATGGTAGGTTAAGTATATGAATATATTTTTTTCAACTGCAGTAATTAAAATGGGCTTGTCGAACACTAGCCTACACGGCCGTTGGCGTTACGTTTCAGCCTAGGCCTAGGCCTAGTAGTAGTGAGAGACAGAGTTAAAGATAGGTAGAGGGACCTACGACCTACCCACCTGCTGCAGACACCGTGTGTCACCACCGTGTATTCCTCAAGTGTCTAGGCTAGAGAATGAAAGCCTGAGGCACATGTGGCCTAGGCTAGGCCTAGCACTGGAAAGGAAGCCACTGGCCGACAGTGGGGGGTGTAAGATATATTTTCTGGGGGGGTGGGGATGGTGGGGTATAAGCTGTCCATGTGGGCTGAGTGAGAAAATGGCAGCCTAACTTTTGCCCGCATCGCCATACGAGGGCCTTCTTCTGACTGAGCCAGCGGGGGATATTTTGACCTGAGAGGTGGGGGTGACCTCTCTGGCCGACTGGAAATGGCACTCTCAGATTTAAGTTGAAAAATACTTCTAATTAAATCATGGAGAAAGAAAATAATGATTAAATGTAAAGTTTTATACTCACAAACTCTACTCAATAAATGCATTTCATTTCAAAATTAGGCCTTAATTTGGGGGGTCTGACTTCCCAACGAGCTCTGGCTGGTGGGGGCTTACCTGTTCAATAGGGGATTAAGCCCCTGCTCCCCTCCCCTCCCCCCACACTGGTGCCGCTACTGCTTGCAGGCCCTGGCAACCTGTGTGTGTGGGTAGTAGTAATGTATGTGCATTTTTATCCATTATTTATAGCAATTTACTGTTTGTGTGTATATAGAGTACTGTAGTTGGCCTCCTAATACTAGCTGCAATATTATGGAATAATAATACTGTATAATTTAATTTAATAATTTAATTTGCTGTTGAGCATGTGTTCCATGTATGGACCAATTCCAATGTTTGACCAATGACCGGGGTAGTAATGTGAAGCGCTTAGAGGCATTGTGCATGAAGCGCTATATAAGAGCGACATATTATTATTATTAATTATAATAAATTATAGGAATTATATCAATCTGTGAATGTTATTATTCATTCAGTAAGTGTATGTTTCAAATGTTAAAATACTATTACTAGGCCTAGCCTAAAGTAGGCCCTAGCATGCATACATACCTAAGTGTACCACTACTGAGAATGAATAAAAATATCTGTTTTTAATCACTAATTGGCCTCTTTTTCCTGTTTGACATTGATATATCATCATATTCTTAAATATATCAACCAGACTTTAAAGTAAGGCATGCACAGGAAATTTAGGCCTAGAAAATACTGTAAGGGTCAATGTCCACGCAGATTTTTCCGAAAATTAGACTTGTAACTAATGTATTATGCAGTAGCCATGATCCTGCACACCTAGCGACTTTCTAAACAATTTGAGCTAGTTTTTGTGGTACCACTTGCAAAATGAAAATACTTTACAGTACTACAGTATGTACAGTATTTCAATACTGTAAATGCTGGAATAAGCGCCGCTCTCGAATAATCGCCGAACCAAACATGATTTTTTTTCATTAAACGCCACTCTTGAATAAGCGCCACAGCGCTTAATCGAGAGTATATTACCCTGTGTAATAAAACACTGAGGAAAACAGTTTTAAATACATTACAATACAGTGTTAAATTGAATAAATAACATAATGATACACAAGCATTTCTTTTTAAACGTTTGTTTATGATGACTGTCCTATATAATAGGCCCACCGAACAATGGGAATACATGAAATAGGTAATGTGGGAACGGGCATGGAAAGTGCCACACAAATATTTTTTTATAAGCGCCGCTCTCGAATAAGTGCTGCTCTGAAGCTTCTAAAAATGTTTGGTCGCCGCGCTTATTCTTGAGCATATATACTAAGCATTGTTTCTGTGGTGCCCTTAACTTAACATTAAAATTTTAAATACAGCTAGGTTAAAACTCGAGTGTTGTGGTGTAAGGTATACGATTTCCAATACTCAGTATTTTGTTTCAAATACTCCACTTGACCTCTTTTGGCAGTACGAGAGTTTATTAATTTATTATATTATTATAATAATGAATGATGAAATAATAGTTACTAAGGCTTATTTATGGTTATAAATGTGTACTAAGCCTAAAGGTGGCGCTTTTCTATGGCGGCCATTTTGGATGGTACACATACAACTCTGCATTGGATTGCTTCGTCGTCTAGTTAGCACTCTAGTTGTTTAATAGCTCCAGCCCTCAAAATTAACGTCGGCATTTGGCAGTGCCTGCGTATATGCCGGCGTCTAGGCACCCGTCGCCGGCGAGAAAATTGCCGACGTGCAGAAAAAGCAGGATTGCACACACAGAAAGACTAGGCCTAAATTACACTAATTAAAAAAAAACGGAACTTCTAAGTTAATCCCTTACACACATGTAGCTGTCTCCGTTGATTTTAGTGAAAGTGAAAGACAATCCCCAACGCACACGTTCTGCAGTGCGTCGCCAACATCTCCTAGAAAGAACAGCAAGTCGAGCGTGTTCTTCGTCACCAAAGTTTGCTATTCTTTTTGACTGTGGTGGCTTTTATTTTAGGGATAAATATGCCCAGAGTATTTTAGTTTTAATTCGTTTTCACAAAAGTAACATGTAAACATATTTCAACATCCATGGTTAGTGTTTATTTTTTAAAACTGCGGCTAGCCTAGGTCTACCTAGAACTTCACAGCACTCTGAGGATCCGATGGTCCACGTAGGCGCGCGTATGCTAGTACTTAGTACTAGCCTAGGTTTAGGCCTAGTACGTAGGACCGGCGTCAATTTCTTAACGTCGGCGATTTCTTGCCGGCGTGCTTTATCCCTAATTTTGAGGACTCTAGCTCTATGGTCTGGACAATTGCAATCAGGATTGTAGCTACAGAAAACTAAGGGCAGGTGATAGACATTTTGAGGGTGGATACTTAAATAACATTTAATAAACTCTAAATAAGAGTGGATTTTAAGGAAGGAAAAGTGGGTTAATAATGATTGGTGGAAAACCATGAAATTAGATTTAGACCGGGTGGAAAACCACCATAACTACATCCCTGTGTAAGTTTGAGGGTGCAAATATTAGTGATGATTAATTAAACAGACTGAATATATGCAAATATTTAAAATAATATGCAAATAAGTACAATATGGAAAATGTGCATTTACTGTAGGAGCCCAGCTTAAGGATTCTCGGTGATGATTAGACCCACCATGTGAGAGGTAAAGCAGTCATAAATGCATCTCTTCTCATCATGCCAAATCAGTCCAATGACTTGCTGTACAACCTGAATACTGTATAGATCTTGAAATAATGAACACTCATCACCCCATGCTCCATATACTATGGCATTCATTTGATATGGTTCAATCCCATACAAACTGTTTCCTAAATTCTAGCAATAGTAGGCCTAGAATTAGGTAATTTGTATAAAAATTGGTTATGTAAATGGTATTGTCAATATTGCAAGCTTGTAGATTTTAGCATTATACTTTGTACTGATGAAATTTTGTCATTCTGTGGGACAATACCATAACAAAGAGGGAATATATACATTTGCACTGTGCCAATATTATTGTTTTTTATTTATTGAATTTTGTGGGCATTTTTTTTTCTTGTAGCACAATCAGATACTTGCACTTTAAATCATTATCTAAACTAGTAAAAGTATTAATAAATGTATGAATTTAATAATTACAGTTCTCCCTCCAATTCAAGACCAATTTTGGGACCTGAAAATTTGGGGTGGTCTCGGGGTTGGTCTCCAATTAGAGGGCTAGCTTTGTGTTAATAGATTGATAATTGTTGTTTCGTTCTTTGAAAAAGTGGTTTTGAATTAGAGTGTTTTCGGATTAGAGGGTGCACTGTACAGGCTAAATTTCAGGAAGAGTAATGTCAAGCTGTTGAACATCAAAGAGTGGGAGATTTTCGCAGCAGCCAGAGACAGAGAGTTGTGGAAAGTCATGATTACCAATGTTCTACGATATGGTACCTGATTATGATGATAAACGTAATGAAGTGCTCAGCCTTGGTAGAGATTTGCCCTAATTTATTTTCATTTTCTTTTTTTCATTTATTTATTGCACCATGTAAACATTAAGAAAGCACTTAAATACAACAAGATACAACATAACATATAATTTTTGTTTTTCGGACACACCTTTGTTTTTCAAAGTGTGCCACTGATGTAAAATGCAACGTGTCCAAATAAATAAATAAACAATGGTCAGGGACAGCTAATATTACTATAACTCAAAAGAATCAGCTGCCCCTAATAAAGATATAAAAAAACATAAATATTGCACACAATAGAAAAGGTTATAAAAAAAATATAAAATGCCCTAAACACTTAAAAAAAATAAATTATTAATTTGTAATTGCAAATTAACAGCATTTCTTTAACATCACAAAGATATATATTTTATCGCAGCTTAATATAATTATTAAGAGATTGAATTAATCAAAAATATGATGAAGTCTGCAAATCATCCTCAGAATTATGATAAGCACTGACTGTCAACCTTAAACCAATTCTGATTCTGATTGGATGCTATTGTACTATGTCTTGGATTAAGACAATCCACTCAGAATTAGGAATTGGTTTAAGGCTGGTGTAATAATAGCCACTACCTATGATAAAAACAGAACTTGCATGTTTTAAACATACACAGTTAGCATCATTAAGAAAGTAAATTACTTGCTCCATGATAGCATCAAGCCTAATCTAAGGGGTGGACTTACATCTACTCAAGCATACTGTAAAATATGGTATTAAGAATACTGAAATAACTGCTGATATAGTACAAACTTAGTTCCATGATCAAATACAAAATTCTAGTTTGAAAGATTCACTATCTCATAGAAGATTTTACCGAGAAATGTAAACTGCAGAAATCTGAATGCATAATTTGTATTTTTTCTTGAATAATCAGTTGCTGAGCACTTACAACTTCTGTTGCAAAAGCAGTGAAATCTTAAAGTGGTCATTCACAATTA